CATCATCATCATCATCATCCTCCTCATTTGCCTCCACCACTCCCAGCCATCGTCGTCAGACTCATCCTTACCCCCGTAACCACCATTATCGTCTTCATCATCTTCATCATCATAATCATCATAGTCGCTCTCCTCCTCCTCATCAAAACTTTCCTCATCACCATGCTCATCACGAGCAGTCGTGCCGTCGCCCTCGTCGTCATTATCATCATGAGTGGCATCTCGCCATGATGGTCAAAGTCTCGTCCGTTTTCATCGCCGTCGGCGCCATCATCAGTCACGTTCTCATGATGATCGTCATCACCAGCAGCAGCATCTGTCTTACCATGAGCCATGTCGATCGTAATCTTTGGTGATTGCTGGTTGCATGGGACGCTTTTTTGGAAAGCATCGCCTTCTTTCATTCTGGTCCTAGTTGCCTTCTCCGGCAGCTCTAATTCCTCCCCCTGAGCCTCCATCTGAGCACCACTCTGATGTCTTTGTTGTGCTGTCTGTTATTGTTTTCTGGGATCCAACCTCCAGAACCTTTGTCAGTGTTGTCGTGCGTCTCAACCGCCATCAGCCATCAACCGCCATCCTTCCATCAGACAGCGTCATGTGCCTATGCTAGCTTTCGTTGGCCTTGGCTTGCCCATTGAGAGTGAACCTGTTTTGACTTCAGCTTCCACTTGCGCGGTTGATTGTATCTCTTACGCTTTATTGGCGGGCCATTTTTGCATGTTTCCGTAGCACAATCCCTAGACGCCCTCACAGCCCTGTTACGCATTTTTAGACCAGGACTTGGGCGTGCAGCCACGGCGGCAGCACGCCTGGATCTTGAGAACTTGCCTCTGAAGGTTAGGTTGACCAACTATGCGGTGCGGTGGTGCTTGTGATTGCGGGTCGCCCGATCTTTCAGCATTGCCCCTTGGCCAGGCTGCCATGGTACAATCACCTTCAAGCACCCCAGACTCTGACATGCAAGCTGCCTAGGGGAAGGCCTCGACGACGAAGCCTGGTGGTCAGCGCTCACAAAGCGGACGAAGGCCTGAAGAACTAGTCTGTCAACCCCTCGAAGGATGCAGGCACCCTGCAGTGTTGACAGGGCTGTCACTGTCGCGGTTATGGTACGTTTACAAAAAAAACAGAGAAGCTTACCATGAACAGATATGTTGACTTTGAAGGGGTTTGCCTGAAGACGTGCACTGGCTGGGAGTCCGATTGGACATAGCGGAGTCCTGATGATGCAGCACCTTGCAGGTCCTCATTCTTTGAACTGACGCGCCCGTGCTCTGCAAAGGAGCTTTCCGATTCCTTAGCCATGCACGACGTGTCACTGATCCTGAACGGCATGGCGAGATCCAGGCACTCATGTGCATGGCTTAGAGATGTGAAATATGCAAAATGCAGCAACCCTAGCCTGTGGAAGGCGGCTGGATAAGCAGCTGGCCGCAGCCAAAGATTCATACATCCTCATTGGGTTTCAAACTTGCGTCGAGGCCCCGCATAGCATTCATGTCAAAAGCATCACTGCTGACTTTGAGAACATGCTGGAGCACTTGTTCACAAACAACTTTGCCACCCTTGACACAGTCATTTCAAGAAATGTGTGCATGTCTGGCTCCCGGATCTCTTAGTCTTTCGACTTGGCCTGAGGTTCAGGCATTGCTTCCCCGGATCTGCGCAAATCTAGCCCCATGGCGCCATTAGTGCTCCATAGATCTACATAATCAGAGGCATACACTAGGCACCACACAGATACCCTGCAGTTCCCCAAAATTAGGGCTACCTTTAGAGAGCCCTCATAATAAGGATTGTAGTATTCTGGGGTCTATATTAGCCTCCCCCTGCATGGTCATGCACCCCAATGGCAGCAGTGAAACTGCTCCTACTATCTGCAGAAAGAAGCCTCCCTTCCCGCCTGCCCCCCCCCCCCTCCCCCGCACACCCCGCCTGTGGTGGCTGTGGTTTGTAGTGGGGTGGGGGACCTGTGGGACAGTAAGATGAACACATGAATCCTTGCTACCACCTAATGTCAGCAGGATGAAGCCCCCCCTATGCACCCGATTGTCTGCAGGATGAAGCCCTCCCCTCCCTCTGTGGTCACTGTGCTTTTATGCACTGATGCGTGGGTTCATGGTGGTTTTTCCAAGGTGAAAGGACAGAAATCCTTACTATTCATATGAACGACGGACTAAATTTCCGTCTCTTGACACATGTCTAACGTCGGTCAGAATTCCCCGAAATCACGCGTTTAACCTGCAAAACGAGATGGTCTCCCCAAATAACGAGATCAGCTTTTTTGCGTTTGAATGCAAGGTTGTTGGAAAACGAGATTCAAGGCCCGACTCAAGTGCTGTAAAACGAGATAGTAGTAGATTTGGTCAGTTGGTCTCAAGCGTAGTAGTAACGAGATGGTCCCCCCCAACATGCTCCGGAGTATGTCAAACGAGATTGAAAGAGATTGCAGCACCCGTCTTGGAATTTTGACCATGCGCCAGACAACAAATTTTGTCCGCTGCTCATATGGACTATTAGCAGTTTTATCCTTGCCGACTAGGCATAGGGAGGAAACAGAATATGGGGAGGAATCACATCAGCTAATATTTTTGCATCCAACATTTTAATTCTACAGAGTATCTGTCCCTAAATTCAGCTGCAGCAGGAAATAAACACATAGATCCTGGCATTTCATATGAACTATGTGCTCTTGCCCCTTGCCAACTAAGTAGGGGAAGACATAAACATTAATATAATTTCGTAATCCTGCTGCGCATTAGCCATTAGATCCTTGCCAGCTAAGCGGAATGATGGGGCCCTCCCATGGTCGTGCACCCTACTGTCTGCAGGACGAACCTCCCCTCCACCTCCCCCGTGGCCCCCGTGTTTTCTTGTGCTTGTGTCCGGTTCATGGCGGTTGTTTCAGGGATCTGGCATTTTTGAGATCTGCAACATCAAAAACGGTGACAGATACAATGATTCTTGGAAAACGATGACAGTCTTGCAGATTGTGAACGGGACACCCGCCATCCCTGTTACTGTCAGTAGTTTTGCGATGTGAGACTGCAAAAAAAATAACAGTTACGCGGATTCTGAACAGGACAACCGCCATCCTTGTGACTGTTGGTATTTTGAGAATTGCGACATCAAAAAACAACGACAGTTACGAGAATGACGCCTCCGAGGCATCAAAAACGAGGACGCTTACGAAGATCGCGACCCCGACACCCACCATCCCTATGACTGCTCACTCTTTTTGAAAGGTCTAAGCGGGGTCAGGGGACAATACCATGGGGGGGTGGGGGGTACTACCGACACGGCGACATGGAACCGTAAATACCCCATTACAATGGTTATATATAGGGGATTATATAAACCTTGTTTTTATCAAGGGTTTAGGGTTGAGGGTGTAAACTCCTTAAAGGGCGGTTATAAAAGGGAGTTTATTAGGGGATTACTATAGGGGTGATTAAGAGAGATACTAGGAGTCTAGACTATGGCCCAGGTGGCGTGGGTTTTGCAATGGTGCCGCCAATGCATGCAACATGCATTTCCAAGTACTCATTGCAAAGTTAGGTTGAAACTCCGTGCACATGAAGCTTTGGCACCAAGCAAGAAATCATGGCAATTGTTGTGTCCACTAGTAGGTATCCGAAATCCCAGCCCAAAATAGCCAAGCACACAAAACCTGGAATCTTGAGGTTTATGTAATCCCCAGGCGCTGTCTGAGCAGACCTAAAGTCCCTCAATATGCAAGCTAAAGCACTACCACTACTGGCAAAGTCATGAGCCGCAAGGATATGCAAGACGCCTATCAAGTCTACGGCCCATGATCCCTAAACGCCAACCATTTGTTCATATTGCGGTATGGGTCATTGGCATCAACCGAATCACGGCAAGCAAGGTATATCTGACTTCGGCACATCTGGCCATGCTTGCCAGTTCCGTGGCCAAGGCATTTTGATATTTACAAGCGTTCGGATAGGTGGCTGACGTTTAAGGTTGCCAAGGTTGGGGAAGGGGCTGAGTAAAGAGCGTCGGCTGGGCATGACTTGTTCCGACGACTAGAATCCGTTGTGCACCTCCCCTGATTTGTTGTTGAAATCAGTCTCAGCCATTAGCACTTGTCTGTGGAGAAGTCTTTCCCATGCTGCGAGAGAGTTCGCCTTGCGTTAAGCGTTGCGGCGGGTGCTCAACCTGGCTGCGTTGCAGCACATGCTGTGGAGAAGTCGAGGCGGAGATACACAACGCGCAATTCACCACCCTCCTGACCCGCGAGCTGAAGGCTGCGGAACGGTTGCAAGCGATAAGATTGAACGATATGTCACGGCAGTACCTTTTTGGTTGCAAGTCAGCACCCAAGACTATTGCTGCCTCTCCGAAACTGACAGGCTCGCAGCTGTGCACGTAGCTTCCGTCCACGAAAGACATGGACTCACTACTTCTCTTGCAGGGGCTGCTTTGACAGAATGCATGAAAGAGTGTCGTTAGCCTGTGGTATGGCGAGATTCAGCAAGGATTTTTTGGCAACGGGCCATGAAGGGCCTATGCCAAGGGAATTGGTTTGTGTTCTTAAGCATGACAGCCTTGGGACAGCTATTTCGTGTGCCTTGCCACAACCAAGCACGCAGCTTCAGGCTTCAGAGGTTTTCGGGGATTCCCAGCGTCAAAGTCTTTTGGCCGAAGCCATGCGGCTCTACCTGTACCTCTTGTGGAGATGGGCGCTGACCTTGGATCAAAGGGGGGGTTTGGCAGCTCCAAGCGTTCAAGCGTGTCAAGGCAAGGCACATACCTCCAGGCTTTGCTTGTCCAGCGCACGCTTAGTCCCGCCAGAGTCTCCTAAGACGTGTCAACAAGCTCAACGTGATCATCCTTGATGGCCAGTCAGGTGCGAAGCGTATTGCAGTATCTGAATGGCAGCGACTACATTGCTGGCACCGTTGCTTTTTCTGTGTCCCAGCTGCACCGAAGTAAAGTGCTTTCATGCCAGTCGGCGGCTTCAGTCCCGGCTGTGTCAGGCGATGGGAATCGCACGAGACGCATCATCAAAGTTCGTTCAGCTCTTTTGCGACTTGGTGCAAGGAAGCATCCGAAGCAGTCAGAACTAGCCAAGTTATGACGACCTCACCGACCTATCCTCAGATGGTGGTCTGCACAGAGCATACTCTCAATTTGGCTTGATTTTAGGTTCTGAGCATCTTTTTTCACGGCCCGTCAGAAAGTTTGGTAGCATGGACACGCGGTGATCTTCTGTGCATACGAGCTGCACAGTTGACAGTCTTTGCATCTGTTTTGCGTGTGAATTCTAGACATGCCTTGAGCAGACGGTAAGCCACCAACCGGTGGATGCAGCATAGCTTGAAACTTACAGTCTTGCAGTAGGTGACTGGGCCGTGCGTCGGCTCTGGATGACAGTACGCCTAAATGAAAAGGCCCGTGGGAAGGTGTCGCTGTGAAGTGGATAGGTTTTGAGTACGGCCTAAACCTGATAGGAGGCAGACCTGGTGCTGGCATGGCTGCGAGAGCAGCCTGCAATCCATGATGCCTCGGAACTGTGGCTCTACGGACAACGCTCAGAGGGCAAAGCTACCCGTGCCTTGGACCTTGTAGTAGCTCAGCTGTCTGCAGGGTGTTCTCGCGCAAAGCCTATACATGGAACACGTCTCCTCAGACTTTCTGAGGTTATGAGTATGAGCCAGAGATAAAAGTGACATCGCGTCTGCGGCCAGGACCTTAATGACCAGAGTCCAGTACCAACGGCTGACTTCCCAAATCAGACGTTTTTTGGTCGGTGTTCTTCAGATCTTTCTGGTCATGATGGGATTGTACCTCCGCAAAGGTGTCGACGACCAGATGGATCTAGTCAATGGGTGTGGCTTTGTTGCAGAAGTATGTGTTAGATGTACGCGTTCGTTAGGAATCGATTCGTGAAGCAGGAATATGATTGCCACATGGTCTCTTCAGGTCATGGTGAAGCCTTAGTTGCTGCGCCGTAGATCGGGTCAGGTGGATCACCCGCGAGAGCCGCGAGGGCTCTGGTGGAAACAGAGCCACGGTGTCCATTCTTGGTCGAGACAAGGCGCGTTGCTTTTCTCAAGCACCTGCATTTGCCTCGTCTTTCTGTTGCCCATGTTTTCTGCTTTCTTGCGGCTGTCATTGGTGTTTGGTCCTCTCGCTCTCTGTGTCTTAGCCCTTGCCCTTTGCAGAGTAGACAGGGCTGTAGTTGTGGTTGCGCTTCCACCTGCGTTCATGGCAGTGGCAGTTGCTGCGGGAGCTTGTCTGCCCACGGCCTCTGGTCATGTTTCTGTACGGGCAGTATTGAGCCCTTGTCTAAGTCTAAGACCTTTCGGCACTCAAGCGAAGATTTTGCTGGAGAGGAGCCTCCCCTACAAAAGCTTTCAGATAGCGGCGCAAAATTCGCAGTTGACTTCCAGAAGACTGATGATCAACAGAGCAACTGAAATGATGAAGTGCTGTGCCAGTATCCATGGCCACGCGAAAGCTTCGCTGTCACCTTGAAGGATTATTTGTATTGTCACGCTCTGCATGCACGTGTTCTTCTGAGGAATGCGTATCAATGATAAAGCATCCGCATGTGATGGCACCTCTTGTAAAGAACATCCTTGGCATTGCATCACGACTGACGAGGGCAAATGAGCGTGAATGGAGAGCAGATGGGATGACTTGCGCTGTGCGCGTCCTCTGTAAATGTGCAAGTGGGACCCGTGTATTGTCCTAGGCCTCAGTTGTCTACCTCTCTTGCAGTGATCGTGGCTCCCAGAACAACGCCTAACAACAGGAGAGGATAGCCAGCAACGCCTATCGTACGCCTTGTGCATTTGGTCGTGATGTTCTTGGGCTCCGTCCATGCACAGTGTTAATGGACGGCACCCGGTCGTCTTGTTGCCAAGAAGCTGGCAGTTTTGAGTAAGTGTGCTCCATCTGCTGCTGCTGATTGCGAGGATGGGTAAAATCTTCTGAAGCTGTGAGGTGGTCTTGGAGAAGATGCTGGAGGAGGGCCGTGAGATCCAGCGGCGCAAGCGGGAGTGACTCAGCCATACTTCTGCAAGCTTTCGCGCTAGCTCAGGATTCATGGGCTTATTGCTTTGCGAGTCCACCATTTTGGGGCAGATTCTTGGGCCTGCAGCCTTTTAGGTACTAGTTTTGGCTCAGTGACTCAGTGGGTCCCAAAGACCAAGCTGACCATGGGAGGAGTAAAGTTTTCTACGCGTCCAGGTCTACGAACCGGATCGTTGTAGCAGATAGCTTCCTCTATGGACAGCACTTACCTCCTCAAGATCTGCCATGAGAGTCGGCACACATCTATGGCTAAGCCGGGCTTGATGGAATTGCCTAGGGGTCTAGCGGCGGCCAACACTTGGTTCACCTGGTGCAAGCGAGGAAGTTCCTGACCGTCGTGCAAGTTTACGACTTTGGGAAGGAGCATGGCCTGAATTGGTTGCACCCGCAGGACATCCTGCGAAGCGCGCAGCAACAGATGGAAAGAGTAGACTGTTAGTTCAAGCGAACAGGGCAACATGGTGCATGCCCTGAAGACGTAGGGTAGACTCGCCTTGCGTTATGAAGTCCTGTATGAGATGATGAGAGGACAAAGACCGAAAGCAGCCTGGTCGGTCAATATCCTCAGTGGTGTTGCTCGACAATTCTATGGCACAACTCAACTCAAGTTCCAAAGCGCCTGCATGCGACATGAGCTGGCGAGGCTTGGAACATGTTGTATGTTTGTAGCAGAGGCTGCCGCGCTGTTGCCCCGGGAGCTCGGGCATAGACCAAGCAGAGGCCATGCTGATGCCAGTGCGAGCAGAGACATCAGAGACTTAGTGTGCCTGCCTGCTTTGATAGCAATGGTGACGCTTCTGAAAGCTTGGTTTGACACAGCTGGCTCAAGCAGAGCTCCAAACTGCGAAGGGCTTTGGGGGTCCGGCTGGCAGGCTTTGCTGGAAGACGCTCGGGAGTTTCTGAACTCGGAGACCTGGTATACGGAGCGTGGCATTCCCTACCGCAGGGGTTATCTGCTCTATGGCATTCCAGGTGGAGGAACCTCGGCTGAATTCTGGGGGTGCCTTCAGCATCCCACAGCCATTGGTCGTTGAGCTTTTTTCCAAAATTGCTGGATGTGTTTTGTGGATTCTGTGAAGCCTGAACCCCAAAAGTTGGTTAAAGCCAGAGCTCGCGCATGGGCACTCTTCTTGAGGCATGGACTAAGAAGAGTTTCCTTGCCAACTGAGGCAAAAGCTCTTTGATCATGGCCGTTGCGTCCGAGCTGCGGCTGCCAATTTACATGATGAGCCCTTCACCTGCAAAGCGCTGGAATCGTTTGAGCTGGTAATTTTGAGCCTCGATCATCTTAGGTTTGCGTGCCCGATGTATATGTATATATACATACATATGTCTGGGTTGTTCTCAAAATTATGGGCCCCTTTGGGCTATAGATTCCATGATGGCACCTAATTTTCAGGGTTATCAATGGTACCGGGAACTACTCATATATATATATACATACATGTGGTACCCCTCCGATTTACATACATAATCTTGCCCTGCTGCAGTTACGCGCCCAGTTAGGCGTCCTAAAAAGATCAGTTTCTTGGTTTTCAGGGTGCAGGGGCTTGGAAGAGATGGAAGAGCATCATAGCATCATGGGCATCCGTTTTTCGCGAAAACTACCAAAAATGCTATGCTGTCCGAAGCTTTGGGGTCCTAGGTCTCCAGGGAGCCCTAGAGGTTCAAAAGTGTGTGTTTTGGGTTCTTCTTTGGGACAGCACAGAATTCTTGCAATTTCGGATTGGTTTCTGGGGACTACAACATTGTTGCAAGGAAGCCAGCAAAAGTGTGTGCTGTCCCAAAGTTCGGGGGCTGAGTGAGCAAACATGCTGGATTGTCCAAATTTTTGCCGTCTATGCCACAATCCCATTGAGAACTGGACATGCATGAATCCAGGATTTCCAAATCTGGAAACCCGCAATCCAGGATTTTATGTTATTTCTCTTCAGATTTTAGAAGGAATCATATGGGTGGTTGTCATTTTTGGGTACCCTAAATATTAGGTGCCTTATTATATTAGGGACCCAAAAAGGGACCAGAAATTTGACAACCACCCATATAAAGCAAATTCCTATCCGCAAGTGGAGATCCAGAGCCAGGGTTTGCTTCTTATTCCTAATCAAATTTGGAAAGGGTTTAGGGTTCAGGGTTTAGGGTTTAGGGTTCAGGGTTTAGGGTTTAGGGTTTAGGGTACAAACCAGAACATTTTCCCGAACCACAATTCCATGAATTGCAGGGCTAATTCAATTTTACAGGAATACATTCAGACCAAATCCCTATCCGAAACATGACCTCGGGAAGTCCAGGAATCCAGAATTTTGTCATTATTTCTATCGGTATCTTTAAATGAAGTCATATAAAGCCGAATTCTACGGAAAAAGCCGACTAGATCGAGGCAACAATGATTTTCGCATTGTTTGTAATTAGCCAAATTTCATATTGACTTGGAATCAAATTTTAAAAGGAATCCACATAAACCAAATCCCTATCCAAAACTGGAAATCTAAAGTTAAGTTGTCAGATGAACAGAGTCCTATGGAAAAATCTTAGTCCAAGAATCAATGTTTTTTTTTTTAATACCATTTCTGGTCAGATTGTATCAGGCATTCATACAGCCCAGATCATCCGAAACTAGAAGTCCAGCAATCCGGGACTTTGTATTATTTCTGTTTGATGTTTGACAGGAGCTCATGTCAACCAAATTCCGATCCAAAACTGGCAATCCAGACTGCAGGCTTTTTGTGTTGTTTCTAGGTCACTTTCAACAAGGAATTCATACACATATTCGTCTAGTTTGTAATTAGATTTGAGAAAGAATTCATATGGACCAGAGTCCGGTCGAAAACAAGTGCTTCAGGCAACTCTGGTTTTCAAGTTTTTCGATTCTGAATAGATTTTCTGGAGCCCGGGCTGATTGTTGACCTTAGATATGTGTGTTTCCTTCCTATCCTCACCCAGATCCACCAAAAAATGGATATACTGATATACATATCTAAAGACATCAACATGTGGATCTTGATGGGGGCGGGGTGAGGGGGTGAGCGTATACAGGATTTAGGGTGTTCTAGTGAGAAAACATCATCAGGACAGGAACAAACTACCTCAATATATATGAACGTACGGGTAAATGGGGAAGGACATGGGGAAGGCCTCAGGTATCGAAGCGAACAATTGGGCATCGACATGACATTCCCAATCCAAGGCTTTTCTTCCGAGCGGATGAATGATGAAGTGCTGAGCTCACTTCTGCCACTGGGCCTTAGCTTGGTAAGGTTTCCAGGCAGGTAAAATGGCAAAGTCCGTTCAGGAGTATAAATTGAGACTCCGACTGTTCGGCAGGATCTGCCATGGTAGCCGGACTTGGCAGATTTTTTTATGGAATTCCTTTGGTCGTGTTTGGTTTCTGTTTGTTAAATACTTTCATGATTAGTTGGAGCTGGCCTGTGCAATTCTGACAAGGCAGTATGGCATGCATGATCCACCTACCATCCTCTTGTTGGAGGAGTGCTGCAAGTGTGGCGCGTTGTTTGATACCTGCGACAAACTTGCTGGCTAATACCGCTATCTAGAACATCCAAAAGCTTCTTGTAAATCAAACATGCCGATCAGTAGGGAGGTTCAGAGAGCAAGCGTGCTGACTGGAAGGACGTTGATCTTCTCCATACTGCAGTGCTCAATCGCAGCATAGCCGCACGTTACGTTGTGGGATTTGGTTAGGAAATGCTACAGACCGCAGTAATTTCTGTTAGATGTTCCACCTGAAGGTCATCGGCAGCTACAAGACTCTGCTGGTGACTCCAGTCCTACCGACAGGGACCCATGAAAGAGCTCACGATGCATATCTCTAGCTGACGTGGTAAAAAATCGATTTCCAGGAAGAGCGCATAGGCCCGTGGACCTTTCTCCAACCTCGGCAGGACAAGGACAGCTCAGACAAGGGCTACGAGAAGAGTCGCCGCGGTGGCCCTGACAAATTTAATCAACAGCTTTGAGGATTGCTCCGTTGCCTAAGTTTGATCAGACGACACAGAAGGGCACATGAGTGAAGGAGCACACTCTAGCCGGCTGGCAGAGGATAGGACGAAGTTCAGCGAAATGTGAGGCTACTGTTGATTGCGAGAACTGTGTCCCATTGACGTTTTCCGATTGGAGCTGAGGACGCCTGACGCTTTCTGGGCTGCTGAACGCTCTGGACAGTCTTGGGCTCTTGCAACCATACTGGAAGTCCATTCTGTCCTTACATGTAAAACAGGTGCATCTTCTCGTTGTTGCTTGCCAGGATGGTCCCACAGCAACGACTGGGAGGCTCCTCTTCATGACAACGAATGACCGAGGCTTGGATTCCGATAATTCATTGATCAATTGATTGACTAAATGATGCTTCAGCATACTTCCTGCCAGATGCACTTGATCCTGCGCTGCTGCGGAGCGGCCGAATCGACTATGCAGCCTGCCTGCACAATTAACATCCCAACGAGTACTTTTGTGTCAGCAGCGATCCAGCACATTGATCTCGCCACAATACGGCGTCGTAAGTTTCTACCTTGAAGTTGTAATAAGTTTCAAGGAGTTGGAGTTCAAAGCTGCCGTGCCGGACCAGATACAGCGTCTCTTCACTCGGAGCCTTGGCAATGGAGGTGAGTACGTGCCATTTTGGGATCGCTGCAAAATAAGGAGAGATAACGCATGCTCCAATCGCGAAAAACATCTCACGCTAAAGTTGTATCTCATGTTGCATCTTGTTTAAGGTTTTATGCCGACTTTGGAGGCTCCACGTCGGCTCAGCTACTTGGCGGAAGTCTTGAAAGTAAAGGAGCCTATCCTGAAATTGCCTCTTTGATGAGCACCAGCTCAGATGGCAGGTCGCCGGCGGCAGTCAAGGCGCTGCCTGATGAAGGCAATTCAGAGTGTTTTGCTCTTGCTGTACCATTCATAGTCGTGGGCCTGGGCAGCATTTGGAGTACCTGCAGCAGGCGACGGAGCTCTTGCCGAGCTCACCACTGAGGACTTGCACGAAAGAGTTGTTGTCAGACAGATTTTCTAGGAGGCCGCAGCACTAGCTGTTGGAGTGACCAGTTCAGCTGCGAATGCTGCGACCATCCCGGAAGGAACTTGCTCAGCTTTTTGCCAAAAAGCTGGACAGTTCCTCAAAGCGGCTCACAACCGCAGACATTCAGCGGCCACCCGACATCTTCATGGAACTTTGAGCCTCCGTGTTTGCTGATTTAGACATGATTGCAGCCATAGGGCTTGCCAAGTCGTCCTTACGCAAAGACCTGCTTGCAGTCCAGAGCAAGAGGCACCTCATGAAGCGCAAGAAGAGTCCTCGGCGGGCTGTGGAAGAGGCCTCTGGAGAGGGCTGTCATAATGCCAAGTACTTCTCAATGCTCACATCCTGCGCACTGTGCAGGTGCAAGAACTGCTTCACACTCAGCAGATCCTCCGTGGTGCTTGGGATCGTGATGGTGACTGGTCATTGCTAGCACTTGAGAACCCAGGCTTGATACCTTCTCTACCGGGGATGACATCCAGGCCGCGCGCTTGCATAGCCTGTGCATGATGTAAATGGACTGAGCCGAGTTCATCAAGTGCATGGGTTGCGGAGTTACAGTTGAATCAAAGGCATCGGTGCGAGACCCATCCTGCCCCACAAAGTGATTCAGTTTGGCTACGAGGTGCCAAATCATTCTTCACATGTTTGCGGGGAATGTTCAAAACTGGACAGCCCCCGTAGCTCTAGATGCTCGGCAGCGGCATGCGACAGACCGTAGTCACGAGGATTGAGCTGATGCCTAGGCAATCTGCACACCTAATCTCCGTTCAAGTTCTTGAGTGTTCATCTGCCCAGCTCTGCGCCGAGCTTGTACAAAGGATCTTTGTTGGCAAGGATGGGCAGTTGCTTTCGAAGGCGTCGCTAATTCTGCCAGGTTCTGATGTACTTGCATTTCTGGCGCAGGCTTGATACTCAATACTTCATGATATTGTTTGGACGCACCAAAGCAAGGCCGCCGCAGAATGTTCCTCCAGATTGGTCCTCTGCTTCACATCCGTTGCCAACAGAGGATTTGTCGGCTGCAATTGGAGCCATCTTGCTGAGAGAAAGGAATGTCTAAAGTGTCACCATTCTTTGCCCAAACTCTGGCCTCTGGTTTACGAGCTAAGTGCTGCAGTCAGCCCGACACGCAAATCCAAGGACATAAAACTTCATGATTTGGCTCCTAGCACAGCGTGTGCTTGACAGATGAGAACTTTGAGAACTGAGAAATTGATAGCAGGCAGTCGTGGAGTGCTTGGATGTTTTACTTTGTACTTGCCGTTGGCAGATCGCTCACCTTGGATGCTGTAGTGAATTTACCAACACTAGCTTCCCAAAATGCTCGTCTCTATTCCGCATACCGGTGCTTGAGCGGATGGCTTGGTATGCAGCTTGAGATCATTGTGAAGCAAGCCGTGGGCCTGAAACACGATGGGCGGCATTGTGTGGAGTTCCTGCTGGATAACCATGCGCCCCAGCGCACTCGCTGGGTCGACGATCTATATGACACACAGGGGCTCGTCGTACAGCCCAAGAACTTTCACTCCAGCAGGTGCACTATCACTCTGAGGGCAGAAAAGGAGGCGTACAAGGACAGCTTCATACATTTGACCCTTTTTCATCAGAGGAACATTCGGGATGACAAGCGCGCTGCTGAGGCTCATCTACCGTTCTCTGGTGTAGCAAATGGATTTAAAGGTTGGGTTGGGCTTGAGCACAAAGACAAGTATGGAGGCAAACTCTACATAGAGGCAAATCTCAAGGAGTCCATGCCTGCGCCTGCACCTCCTCGCCCAAAAGCCGTGGTGATGCCGTCTCCAGATGATGCGGAGATTGCAGAACAGATGGCCATCTTAGCAAGCATTCAGGCGAGTCAAGCGAGCCAGGCTAGCTCCCAGCCAGCTCAGACGAGCCGACCTGTGAGTCACGGCCAGTCTGTATCTACGGCCACAGCGACAGCGGGTGTGGCAGCTACAACATCGCCCGCATGGCCATGGCCAGATAGCTCCGATTCGCATGCACAACCTTCCTGGCCGGACTGGCCTGGTGCGAATCCCAAACAAGAGCTTCCCGTGCCTCCCAGCAACTGGGTCTGCAAGAGCTTTTGTTGCTTGGTCTTTGGCGTCTTCAGTGTAACCTAAACATCTATACGAAGTCCAAATCTGAGGTCCTGCACCAGAGCCTGTCCTGCCCGCTTTGCCGGAATGGATTTCTTGGCTCGACTACAAGGCGGCCTTGGACACTGGCAAGGCTGGGACCCTGGCAGCTCCCCAAGGGGCAATTTCAGGAGGCCCTGCCAAGCCAACTGGACGACGAAAGGCGTTGTTGATTGGCTTGAATTATCCTGGCACTGCAGCAGAGCTGCGAAATGGTGGCAACGACGTTGAGCGGGTGGCAGCTGTTCTGGCTAGATTAGGGTTCCCGGAAGAGTGGACCTTGAAACTGACTGACGATGCACCTGCATCACCAGAAGTTGCTCCGACCAAACGCAACTTTATCGGTGCCATGCGCTGGCTAACACATAACCTTGCACCCGGTGATGTCCTTTTCTTTCATTTCAGTGGTCATGCGACTCAAGAAGATGATGAAGGGAACGTGCCAGGCGGAGATGCGCTTTGCCCAGCTGATTTCTCGGAAGCCGGCTCCATATCGTCAGAGCTAGTGTGCAAGATGCTGGTACAGCCTCTGCCGCCATATGTCAGACTCACCATGCTTATCGACTGCTGCATTCCGTGCTTATGTCCAGAGCTCCCGCTGCTGTATGACCTGCAGCAGGACAGATGGGTTCTTGGCAGCGCGACAGCCTCACATGGTGATGTGATCTGCTTGGCGGCAGTGGGCTCGGAGATGACCATGGAAGATCTGCAACAGATCCGTGCGGCTGAGCAGGGGCTTGTCACCAGTGCTTTTCTTCAGGCCATGCAGCAGCTAGCACAACAAAGGAAGGGCCCAGTCACCTACCAAGAGCTTGTCTCGGAGGCGAGCCAACATCTTCAGCCGTATGCCCACAGAGGTTTGCAGCTGTCTGTAACGCAAATGTTTGATCCTAACGTCCGAACTTTTCGTTTCTTCGATGCCATTCAGAGCAAGGTGCGCTAATTCCGGGAAGCCTAGCTGTCTTGATGGGATATCAGGCTGTTGCAGAGGATAGTCGTTCGATTCACTAGGCGGCCTCAGCAACTGCATGTATGACTTGTGTTCGTGTTCAGTACAGTTGAAATGAAATGTAGTCTTGCTTGTGATTGGCACCCTGCCCATGGATTGCAAGCAGTATGTTTCACTCAGCGTGGCCACCGCGCCAGATGCATTCAAGATGCCAAAAGGATGATTAGCCTCTGCATTAATGAGCCTTTGATGAGTCCATGGTTTACTGCCGATAATGTCCTTGAGCTTGGGGCTGCTGTGATTCTTGCAGAGATGTTGCGTCATGGCCACTGGCGTTGCGATGTGCGGCCTGCAGGCGCGGCTGATGGAGTTTCACAGCTCCATGGAGCTGACCATGATCATTAATGCCCTACACTTAAAGCTGTGTCAGAATCGGATCTCCGCACATAAAACGAAGGCAGGATGACCTTCCGTAAATTCTTGCTTGTTCCACTTGAAGGGACAGGTCTATGACTGCAAGTCATTGCCAGCAAATGTCTGCAAGAGCAGCAGGTGCTGCACGCTCCTTTGCTTGCCAAGGTTTACTGAGCTACCTGTAAAAAAGATAAGACAAGTCACATGTTGGCCATGTTGCCGGCAAAAAGGCTGTGAGCAAGCTGCGGATCACTGACGAGGACATTGCAGTTGCATGCATGTGTGTTCACAATTTGACACCGTGCTGGAGAGGACCTGTTCAGACGTTTTGTGCAGCTTGCATGTCCTTCATGGATTCGTGGACGCTGCGCTCTTGAGTTCCAGTTTGCGATTCTGTTTTGCACCTTTCTGAAATTGCTGCGCTGTGCTGTACTTTGAAATGCGTCGCCCCCGACACCAGCCAGGTAAGCCACACCCAGAGTCGCTCGCATCTGAGCATGTTCTGGTGTTCTGCTGCGGAAAGGGTGCTTTATTGCTGTTGCATTTTTATTGCACAGACGCAACATAAAGCCAATAGTGGCAGCCACGGCCGCCTGCCAATGTTGTATGACGGCCGACCCCAGACTGGCCTCTCAATGTTTTCCTCTTCACATGCTTGTTTTATGCAGCAGCACGTATATGCCAATGCGGCCGAGGCATGGGAACTGAAGCCTTCCATGTGCGAGACATTTCTGCAACAGCCTTGGAAAGAGCCACGGTAGGTTTTGACATTCTCGAGGTGTTGAAGCCATCCTGCCGCAAAGCATTAGTTGTCATTCTGTGCCTGAGGTGATTGTTGGGGCCCTCGCTCGCGTGAACTGTAGAATGCTCAGAAATTCAATTTTGGGATCACATTGGCAAGTGTGCCATCTTCTCGTAAACCACAGATGTGTCCCCACGGCTTTTGCCTTTCGCGCCACATGTTTCTCCAGTCAAGCATAATTGATGTTGACTGGCCATCTGCGCTGCACAGCATTGGTTAGCAGCCCAGTGTGAGGCGTGGATGCGAACACCATGAGCCGATTTGCGGATGGTTGCGTGCAAACCCTTCCTCAGGCCTGCTGCAATGTAGACACATCAGATATCACAAGCGGTTGTCAGCATCTTCGAAAGACTGGTGGATCTTTCTTGACTGCTGCGCTTTGATTCTTGACCTGGCCTGCTGGCTAGGCGACACCCTTGGAGCTAGCACGGCTCATGCATGCCTGCATGTCCGATGCTTACCACATCCTTGCAAATCCTTCGTCACCCGCGGATAAATCTGAGATGTTTGATCAGAGATGTTTTTACGGGTTCTCCTGAGTTCGTCTGGCATGAGATGGCAAGAATCTCAGGCTTGTCAGTCGCCGTGCTGCTGTAGCGCTTAGGAGGTAATGTGGACATGAGGCAGGATTCGTCTTGCAGCTTCAGTAGATATGACGTGATAACATCGTGTTCCTGGGCCTTAGTCTACCAAAGCTGTCAGAATTCTTTTTGTTGAGCACAACCAGACCTTATCCCTCCCACTTGGTGCGTGTTTGTATTCCTTCAATAGCTGTCATCATTCTCTGTGGCTGAAACCCTTCAGCTCTTTCCCTCCCCTCCCTGTGGTGAGGGTGGCTGTTCTCCTGCCACAACTCCCAGCACTATTTGCAAATGACTGTCACCCTGCAGCAATGACCTGTTTGTCCTCATGGTGCAACCAAAACTCAATATGATTGCCTAAAGCTTGAAGAACTCCAGTGTTGAGTTGTTGTTCAAGGTGGGTCAGATTCTCCACCCTCTCGCCTGTGGTGTGGGTGGTTTTTGTCTCTCCCCGTATGACGTTGGCGTTTCTTAAGTCTGCAACATCAGAAAACAAGACAGTTGCTGGGATCGTGTCCAGGACACCAGCCCTCCTTGTGACTGTTAGGACTTTTTAAGATCTGCGACGTCAAAAACAGTAACCGTTAGGAGGATTGACCATCACCATGCCTGTGACGGTTGGCACAGTTGAGATCTGCATCATCAAAAAAGCCATCAGCAATCACACAGAAGAGACCTCAGGAGGCCTCAAATATGAGGACAGTTACGAGTATCGTGAGCTGGACACCCACTATCTCTGAGTGGTCATACTTTTGAGAGGCCAGGCCAGGGGCGGTGAGGGATCGTATATGGGGTCTTTGGGGAAACAGCAGACTGTTGAAGTGGATCTTTTCGTGCTTGCTACGTGTAACTCTAGGTGGTGCAACTACGGACGAGATGCCAGCCGAGGAGCGTCTCCTGTCATACACCGGATCTCTTCACGGCCTGCGTGCTGCAGAACCGTGAGCAGGCTTGTAGTGTTCAGTTCGCCTGTGTCGGCTGGCATCATGTGACAACTGCAGCCAGACTACGGGCATACAGTTGATGGTGCGATGACCAGGATCTTGGTAGTGTCTTCTTGATAAGAGCGTGGCTTTCCCAATTATTCCGCCAGCTTCATGTCTTCTGTGCTGGCTCCGCTGCTTGCAAGTGCGCATAATACCTTGGAAATACTGGTGCCAAACGTAATCATGCATCTGCTCGTTGTGCATTGTCGGGATTCACGCTGTAACGGAGTTAGGCAGCCAGCATGGATCCGAGCGGCCTTTCTGCTGCGGCGTATGCCTTCGGCCAGTGCTTCGAGGCTCGGCTTGGCTACATATTCCTACAGATGGTTTGAATTCAGTGTTGAATTTCGAGGATTGGCATGCGCATCTGCTTCTTGGCACGAGCTTTGTCAAGGTTGCGGATGTGTCGCACGTCCGCTACTTGCAGAAGATCTTCAGACACCTGCGCATGGCGCGCCCTCCGAGCTCTAGCGCCGAGGGGAGTAGTCATACCATCTTCTTGACCATATCAAGCCTGATATGTCAGAGTCATCGTCTTTGTCAATTGCATTCTTTGCCAGGCTGCAGTTGCCAGCTTACCGATGTTCTTACCTCGCGAGATCGTGGCCACCTCAAGAAAAGGGGCCAGCAGTATGTCAATTGTCCGCCTGACATGTTTTTTGACCAAGGTGAGCCTACTCAAAACCTATGCTCGGTGGCAGATTACCTTTGAATGTGGCCACTTGCGCAAGGCACTGCATATGTCACAAACAACCAACAGCATGAGACTTCTTTGTGCTTCGTTAAAGCTTAAAAGAATTGTGTTCCTTGGCAATTCTATTTTAGATGAATCCGTGATAATCTTGGGGCTAGCTGGCAACTTCTTGCAGCAATGTCTGGTAGCCACGACGTCCTGCTAAGTCGAGACCAGCTTGCAGACTTTCTGATTGGCAGGTTGCAGAGCGGATGATCGCAACAAGCGGTCAGTTCGACCTTGACAGCGCTGCCATGCGGCCCAGTGCATGTGCAACGATGTACTTTGGCAAATGTCCAACATCCTGCAGCGCCCTGCACGAGATCCAAGGTCACAGGTCTTCACAATTTGGCGCTGCTGTCCTGCTCGGCCTGATTGTTTCGTGCGCGTAAACGAGTAGGCAAGTTTATCTCAGTACAGTGAATGCTTTCCTATAACAGCACAGCGTGCGTCGGGAGCTCAGCTTGCTCATTGGAAAAAAAACGAGTAGGCAAATAGAGAGAAGAAAAAGAGCGAATCTGTTCCCATCGTTGGCCCGGCTGCTATGTCAGCTTTGCAACCTTGACTTCTGCAACGCTGCAACGTGCCGTGAAATGGCCGGCAAATGCAGTACCATCAAAGATTCTGAAGACGTCTGGTCTTGGTGGGCCATCAACTCTGCTATGTTCAATGACCTTCTGAGTTCAAGCCTCAGAACGTTGCAAAACGGAGTAGGGCCAAACTGCACTCATCCCATGCTGAAGTGTCAAACAAGCCACATCAAATCAATTGCCCCCGAAGAACGACCGGTCCAATCCATGCCTTCTGATTACAGATGGGAAGCCTGTAGCTTCGCTCAGGGCGGATGACATTCAAAAACAACGTGCGATGATTGCGCGTACTGAGAATGCAGGGCTTGCTGCGACCACTTGAACAAGAACTGCTGCTGCAGCCAGCAGCTGCAACACGTGCTTGGTTTGGTTGTGTTGTGTGGCCATGCTTGAGCATTTGTCCTTGTCGCGGCAGGATGCAGCGGAACGCCATGCGCTCGGAGCGCTCCGCTGCGCTTGGGGCGGCCCGGGAGGCCTTTGTGCCTGTGAGGTTGACGGCTTTTGAGGATTCCTCGAAGGACCATTATGTTCTGAAAGGTCCCATTCATTATTTGGGGAAGGATCGGATGCTGATGCTGGCCGCATGTTCTGCAGGTTGCGGTCGCACATGCGAAGAATTAAGAATTGAATCCCAAAGACTGGTCGTTCAGTGAGCTGTAACATCTAGCCATGAGTGAGTCACGCCGGGTGTCGTTAAAAGTTTTGCATGTTGATCCACGAGTTCATCGTGCTGGGCAGTGTCGCTGCCAGCACCCTTGGGACCCTTTTTCTGGACTGATTCGGTCTGTTATTGTTGTCGTCGTTTCCATTTGTGCGTTTGTCTTTTCCTGATTCTTTGGAGTCGCTGGCTCTGTCCATGACACCTGGGGGCAGGTTGTTGCCGAAGCAGGAAGGAATCTGCTCGTGCCTGTGGGGGGCCCGGTGACATGTTCATACGCTGCAGGCGAGGACGGACTTGTTTGAAAATGTTGGAAGTCATTCGCTCCATAACTGTCAGATAGCATGTGGCAGCGACACACGCTGTCTGTTTGATTGAAGTCCTTCTTCCGAGCTGATAGCAGTGCTCCAAGAGGTATCGGGACCATCCAGCATTCATGATGTAGTTTGTCTTGCACATCAGAGAGATCGGACACAACCCTATGGCCAACTCTAGAAGACTTCTCAGAAGCGGAAGTGGAGCCGCCGCCATGGGGCGACCCAGGAGGCCAGGCCAGGCGCTTCTGTACACCGCTGCAACGTTCAGCGGGCTTGTTTTGCGTCTTGGCAGTTGTCATGCAGAGGCATCCAGGAAGTGCTGGCTGCTATGCACAGCATTGATAAAGCTCTTCCAGCTTAGGCTGTCCCGCAGCTGGGCCTTCGTGCGCCTCGCTGCGCAGCCGCTCCTCTCACGGCAGCCAGCTGACTCCGGCGCTCGCCTTCGCTGGCCAAAGTGGATCGCTTAGACTCCCCATGCTGCGAGTCATCGAGGAAAAGCATGCCAAAGAGAGACCTTGGGGTGATTGACTGTGGTATGTTGTAGTCTACACGTAAGATGTGCCAGGTGGACAGGCCGACGAGCTGCTGTCCTGCATGCAACCGCACAGGTGCGCCGCCTTTTGAGATGGGATCCTGGAAGATCTCAAGTAACAGCGCATGAACATCTTTACTCAAAGGGCCAATCTGCCACAGTCAATTTGCACTAATTCGCAGTTGTTTACACCTTGCTTGCGATGCCACTAGCAGGCTTGCAAACCCTGAGACTGCTATTCCCGCAGGCCACGGAGGACTTGACCAAGCTGCAGGACTGCTGAGAAGAGCAAGTTGAGTGAAGGGCTAGTTTGGGAGCTGGCAGCCTGCCCTTCGCTTTAGGGCATCGGGTTTAGATCTCCCAGGAGTGGATGGAAGAAGGTGGAGCCCCTTCGTCTGCGGTCCGCTTTGTTGACCTTCCGGGCTCTCGGGCAGCATTCTGACAGAGGACAGGTCTGCAATTTTTGCAAGATGACAGGACGCACAAAAGTCTGAATGGTTGCCGTGCTGGGATGTTTGGGATGTCGTCACAGGAAGCAAACCACGTTTTTTTTCTTTTTTTTTGGTAAGGGTTCAGTTAATTCATCATTCACTCCTTTTATTCAACATCTTCCGGTTCGGTTCGGTCTTTTGTTTCGTAACTTCCAGTAGATCAAATGGGGACGGAGGCAAACGATTTTCCAGGCCCTGCAAACATGATTTGTGAAGCCCAACTCACAGATCTCACTTTGTGACAACAATGCTAGGAGGCTCCTGCCAAATCACAGTACTGTAGTGACAACAGTAAGACTGAGTGGAGCGTCATTGTTTTCCGGCCCCTGGCAGAAAGGTGATGGTGTGACGCAAGTTGGAGCTGGGTTCGTGCTGGGTTCAACAATTCGGCTTTGGCTTTGGCGGTTCTTCGGTTCGGCACAAACCTGATGAACCCTGTTTACTGTGCCACTAGTCTTAGAGCCATGCACCCTTAACACCACCGCGGCCTAGACAGCTGAACCCTCAAAACCCTCAACTCTAGACTGCTCAACCATGAACCCCCTTAAAGTTCCTTCACTCTCCAACAGTTCAAAACTCCACCAAAACAATAAAACTCCTGAATCCTAGAGCAAGGCAAATCCTAAATCCAAGGAGCCGTTAAGTCCAAAGATGTTGTCAGTGGCATTTGCATGAGTATCTTCAATCCTCCTACCATTGCCAAGGGGCAGTTCAAGCTGCCACAATGACCGTGAATCAACAACAGTAAAAAAGCAGCAACAAAAAGATGATTCTCCGACTCCACGTGGCAGATTCTTGCTCAATATTCCTAATGTCTTCTTGCAGCTGGCTTACAGCCGGGGTTTTGGGGTGAGGGTCTGACTCCACAGGCCCGCCCAGCTCTGCTTTGCTCTGCTTTCAAACGGCGGCAGTTTTGCTGGGGAGTCTTGCAGTTGTGAGCCGAAATCACTGCCGTTTGAAAACTTTTGGCGATGCCCATGCTCTCAAGCCAGAGCATGCTCATGCTCCACTGCCAGCATTATCAGTGGGGCTAGTCGTTGATATCATGCAGTTGGTACCATGCATATACTCACTTGCACATCATAGTCGGCAACCATGCCTGTTTGTGTGTAGATGCTGAATTGCCGGTACCATGACTTCCTTTCTTCTTCTTGCTCTATGTTCATCAGCCTTACTTGCGTGTCTGCAAGGGTCGCCGACTACTGTGTCGCAGCAAGATTTAGAGGCTATGTGACACTGTAAAACTCCCTGAGCATTCTTGAAGTTGCTTGTGGTGGAGTACCTATTGCAGGCGCTGGTGAGGAGAAAATTGTTGCGCAATTTGAGTTGTCAACTTGTTCGTCTAGCTGACTACAATTCTTGCCTGCCCATTGGCCTGCCAAGTGGCTTGGGAGAGGTCTGAGACGTAGAAATTTTGGTGGGCAGTATGGCAAGTGGCCACCAAGCTTGAATTCTCCCAAGCTGTAATCCCCCCAAATGCCGAGACTTTGTATTTGCCTCAATTCACCCCACACGTTCTGTGTGCCCCTGTTGTGTGGCAGCACCTGCCACACTTCAGGCTTCAAATTCAGCCTGGTTGCTGGAGAAGATGGTGTCAAGGCAGGCGACGTCTTGCTGCGCGTGCCGGACTCGATGCACATCTCTCCATCTTCAGTACGTCTCAAGGCGACAAATGGCATGGAGTCGCGCAAAGCAGCAGTGCCATACTTTGTTTCCATGACTGCAAACCTTGCAAGCCCCCAAAGCCAAGCAGTGCCCCTGTCTCTGTGGCTCTGTTGCACGTGCCCAGGCTCCTCAGCACTTGGCAAGGCTTTCGAGCCTCTACAGTTGGACGACAGCGCAGCTTTCCCGCAACCATGTGCGGCCATGTTTGTTTGTTGCAAGTCGTGACGGTGAGGCCATGCTGGCTGTGGGCCTCCTTGCTGAAGTGGGCAAGAAGGAGTCCAGCAAGTTCTGGCCATACCTGAGGCCACATCACTGGCGATTCAAGCAGTGTGCGCTCCTGAATGGTAACCTGACCAGGATACTGCCTGGCGCGAATGATCTCCACATTCCACTTCTGTGGCCAGAGGAGGACAGAAGGCGCTTGGTCCCATACGTATGTGGGCGACGCGCATGATACGTGTCCAACAGGGCTTCGTCAGTAGTGAAGTGGTCCATTCCAGCCCTTTGTTGAAGGCGCCTCCTCGCGGGGAGCCCGCTCGAATTGGCGGCGGAACAGCAACAACTGGGCTTGCGGGAGTTCCCTGGCAGGGCTGATCCATGGTGGTTGATCATTGGTTCCTGCATTTAGTGAGCATTAGGCAGTGGAGCGGCATCCAAGCCATGGCCAAAGACGTGCCTGAGTTCTCAGCCGAGTTGACGGAGGAGAGGATTTCCGCTGGCAGGGTTGTGCCGTTCCCTCCCAGCCACCAGACCCAAAATAGAAACATGGGAATGGCATGGCACAAGAGTAAGGAGGTCACGGTGACATGCTCTAGATGTGGCCCCTTCAGGAGGATTGGCTCTGGGCACATGCCATAGTTCTGACTCGCGCACTGCCCTTTGGCAACGAGCTCTCGCTGATACCGGGCCTAGATTTGGCCAACCATCAGCTCGGGTCCAACAACACCTGCTCCATTGGTGTGCACCTCTGTCTGTACGAAAGAAGAGCTGCTTCCCGGTTTGCTGCCAGACTGAGTAAGAAACAAACAACTGGAAGACCCGCACAGCAACTAAGTTTGTTCGGGTGGTAGCGCATTTTGCGAGCTTTACTACAAACAGGAATTCATATCGATCGATTCTGTTTGATTTGTTTACGCGCGGAAATCAGGGCTGCGCCGGATGGTAAAGTGGTCGAGGCCACGGAATCCGCGCAGCTAGAGGCTGCGAAATGTGGGAAAAGCCTGCTGACAGTCTGACAGTCTGACAATTGGGCAGCGGTTCAGTTCAACTCTTGCTCTCGAGATTCACCCATTTTGATTTCAACGCTTGCCAGGGAAAAAATCCTGAAGCTGTTCTGACAGCAGGCCTGTTCCCGGTTCCCATTGGACAGAGTGCAAGCTGACAAGACAAGCGAGACTGTGATGCCCTCTTTTCAACTTTTGTGTGAGTTCAGTGCATGCTGGCATGCACCTCGTCGAAGTTGCACCTTGTCGAAGTTGCCCCTCACCAGCTGTGAAGGCCGTGACCATGCAGCTGGCGAGCAGGTCTTCATCGACTATGATGGTGGTGTTGGTCTTCGCCTGGCATGGGAGATGGTGCACACGTATGGTCTCGAAGCATTTCGTAGCAACCTTTTGGGGTTTGTCAGTTTGTACTCAGTAGCAGACTCCAGACGGGTGGGGCTCAGTGCACTTTGGACAAGACATTCCGTCACCATAATGTCATCATTATGTAGATCATGTAGATATGTGCCAGCCAATCAAGGCTTCGTGCCCAACAACATGCCCGCCTACGCTGGTAGGCGCGGTGCGCGGGCTTAACTTTTCGCTGTGTATTGCACAGTTTTCCAGAATTTCCGCGGCACCCTTTGGTGTAGGTTTCAGCACCTTGCAAGGCATTCTCCTGGCCAGGGCTAGGGATTTTCCAAGTTGTCCAACAGCGCCAGGCCAGTGTTCTTCGAAGGGGTCCAGGCCTGCGGATGGCTGTGAAAATTTTCCGCTCTTCCTCACAGCGATTCGGTGGTCGTAATGGGCTGCAAGCCAGACCTACCAGCAGAGGCCGCGGATCCCATGGCGCGGCAGAAACAAGCCCTCTTTGAGGCTCTGGGTGCAGACCCAGAGGCCTGGCAAAAAGTCGGAGGGGGACTGCAACTTCAAATGCTTGCCTGTGAGGTGTTGCAAGGCTTCTGGCATGAGGTGCGGCCACTTCCAGCCCAGCACCTCGACATGATTTGAATGTTCGCATTCAGTTTGCACAGTTGGGAGATGCCAGGCTGCAGCTTGCGTGCATTTGTAAGGTGCAGGGCTATGGCTCCCAAGCTTCGCCTCGCCCATTTGAAGCAGGAGGAGCCCAGACTCAGCTCCAAAATCAAGTACGCCAACGCAGGATTTGAGCATGAACCAGCGCAGGACGGGGAGATTGCCGCAGACCTCGCTGCCTGGAGAGCAGAGCCCAAGGCGCAAGGGGCCGGCCTGAGAGTTCTAAGAAAGAGCAGGTCGTGGCGCATGAAGCAACCGCAGCTGATGGCAAAGCCGACCCTGTGATTGTAAGCCTTGGAAGGGTGATCTCAGCTTGCAAGAAACATGTTTCGTAATGTCGTAGTGTACGAATCTTCGGTTCGCCTGAAACATCGGAACATCCCAAGCTCGAAGGCCACTCTCCAGGCCCTTCAGTCGCCTATCAGCAAGGACCAGCAGTGGCAGAGGTTATCTATTGGTCAGGAAGTCTGGAAGTGTTGTCAGGTCATATCTTGTTTGAAATTGTAGCCATCAGTGTAACCCTGCAAAGCAATGGCTGGCAGCTGACAGCAGGACACGGGCATCAGTAGTACTGCAACTGGCTTCTTCGTTTCAGTGCAAATCTCGATTTTTTGTGCCGAATGCAGGAGAATGAAAAAAAAGTTGCCGAGCAGGCCTCCAGTCTTAGCATTTTACTTCCTTGACACAGCCTTGTTCGTGGCATACGTGGCGCTCTTTTGCTGTTTGAAGGGCAGCCGATTTTCACGCTGTGGGTGAGATGATCGCCCTCCTTGTGCCAGGTGGTGAACACCTGCACGGAAGCGCTAGCAGAACTGCCCGGAGAAGAAGAGCTCAAAGAAAAAGCTCTGATGCCGCAGACAGCTGACGAGGCGGCCTGTGAATTGAATGACCGGTTAGGTTTAGATTGTAGGCTTGTGCGTTTCAGGCATAAAGCATCAAAGGGAAACAATTGAGGACAAGCTAAACATCAAAACAAAGATGGGCAGCACTGAGCAACGGACAGTACGCAAAACCATACCTCTGTTGCCCTACCGTTCAAAAGCTGCATGTTTCCCTGTAGTAGTAGCTTCGCAATGTCTGGAAGAAGAGCTTGGAAGGAGCCTCTCCAAGTGCGAACTCGCTTGGCGGTGGCTTGGCGAGCAAAGCCAAGCACAAGTAAGGATTGTGGGAGCGGATACCTCCACTTGTTTGCCAGGGTGGTTTCTGTAGCTGCCCGCAGCAAGCATTGATTTGCCTTGAAATGGCATGCCGATGTTCACACTGCACCTCTCAAGCTCATTTTGCGCCACCAGCCAACATGTGGAATAAGGCCCGGGTGCTTCTGGGTGAGCGGCTTGCATTGGAGACTTGCGTCCGTGAGTGGACAGAAGCCTAGTATGATCAGACTCTCCAGCTTGACTGTAGACTAGAGCTGCTATTGCTTAAATAGCTGAGAGTTTGTTCACTCTATCGTGAGAAGTGCTCACGCGAGCCCCGATCATGAGGAAAAGTGACCATCTCCGCAGATGTTTTGATGCTAGCAAAGTGCTCGCATCCTGCTAAGCTGACGCGAGGGTGTCAGATAATTTTTCTTATCAAGGTACATCTCCTGCATTCCTCTGCTGCATCTTTGGAATCGGTCGGTTTTGGCAAATGGAATGTGCTGTACGAGCATTGACAACTGGAGAGCCTTGCAAGCTTAAGAAGGAGCAACCTTGCCACATGCTTTGGGGTGGGCATTTTCTTATGAGGAAACTTCATGAGCTTCCGCAATCCTTGTTCAAATTATGTTCGGAGTGATGCTCCTATGGCTCGATTGTTTTTTGTAGTACAATGTGGGCACGAAAGGAGGATCAAGCTACTGAAGCCACAATACTGTAGCCGCAGCATACCTCCAATTCCATGGTCTTATTTTAGGTAGACCCCTCACCCTGTAATAGTGACAGAATAGAAATAGAAGAGACTTAATTTAATCACCAGAATCATTGTCCCGCTATCCCTGTATAACCCCCATATACATACCCTATTATACTGCTTTTTCTTTTCCATTATCCCTATATAACCCCTATACAACCCTATATAACCCCTATATCATACAGTAGTTTTTTCTTTTCCAAATTACCCTGATATGATCCAGTTCACCTAAGTTTTTTTGAATTTGGGCCAAGGTGTGGTCCGCAGCTCGAGCCAATGAGCTCGACCTGGCAACATTGCTCAAAGCAGCAGAGGCTGCAGTCGACGCTTTGCAGCAGATCCTGGCATTTGAGTCACCTGGGTTTGTGGTGCATCAGCCTTTCTGCTAGTGTGCTGCTGCCAAGGATATAGCTTCGAACTCTTAGCACTTGGACTTGCTCAAGTAATCAATGTCGAGCTTTGAGAGAACAGCAAGTGCCAATAGCCATGGAATCAGAAAGGAAGTTGGATTTGTTAAGGAAGCGTAAAGGAGTAAGGAAGGGGTATTTGGAGTGTGCATGACCTCTGCCCAGGCCCTTGGCGCTGGTGGCCCGGAGCTTCGCAGCCTCGTCGCCGGGGCGGCGCTGCGCCGGCGGAGCGAGCTCGATGGGTGCCGCGGCTTGTAGCGACGTGTGCTACTTCAATCCTGCCGAAGTACCAATATGGTGAGTACAGGTTTGTGTTTTTTGTCTGTCAGAGGCCGACAGCTCTGGCTTTCTCAGAGCTGCTGAGCCAACTTGGCTTACATCCGGAGGCCCGTTGCTTTCACAAAAGCTATCGCTGGCATAAACACACTTCATCAACAACTAACGCATGAAAGTGCAGAGAAGTGCAGAGACATATTATTGCGCGAAGCAGTATGCTTGCCGCAGGCATGCACCATGCTAGCAGCGTCTAGCTTGCGTTCGACAGGACGACCTGATGCTGGTGTTGGCAGACCTGACGACACCGGCACTCTACATGTATTGACCATTACGACGCGAGAGGCAACACGCGAAGGAAAAAAGCAAGGCAGCATAGATTTCTGCTCCTAACCTCTCGTGAAGCGTGATATTTGTGCTTGGCTGTCTAGCATCCCGGACACACTTTTCATGACTAAACTTGCATTCGTTTCGTGGCCCAGGCATGGGTGCCAGAAGCTGCACGCAGTGTAGTCCCAGTCAGTCTGAGAGTGCAAGTCTGAGTTGATGTCAGACACTTCCATTCGCGCAGCTGCTTATCTGCTTATGACAACGATTCGTCAAGCAACTGGATGTCTGCACCCTGGCACTTTTTGCTATGATCCCTACAAAGGTCCAGATTTACATCTCAGATTGTATACCAACCTTGACACCTTCTAAGCTCTGTATTCGCAAAGCCCGATGGGGCCCACAGTCGCACAAAATTGAGCAAGTTGCTTTCTTTTCAAGAATGCGGCGATCACGCGCGAAGGCAATGTTTTCAGGGCTGCGAGCTTGATCTGCAAGAGTGCATTTCTGCAAGCAGGCTTCTTTTGGTGGCACGTAGCTGCGCGGCAGATGAGGGGGGAGTGGAGCCTGGTTTGGCTGGCAGGCTGCATTGTTCGCCTTGGCGGCTCTGATTTTTTGGAGGCCTGCTCAGCGTCCTGTGAAAGAATCACATGACTAAGTGCACGTTGCAGCTACAGACTCCACCGTCCCGCCTTGAAGGTTTTCCAGTTTCTTGACCAGCTTCGTTGCACTACTGGCGACATTGATCCGGCTTGCATCCCTTGACCGCAAGTGTTGCTTCCTAGAGGCAGTCCACCCCAACTGCTGGGATGCCCCGCGCAGAATTGCTTGCCAGGCTGGAGGGCGATGTCGGGGTCGCTCCATGCAGGCATGAGCAGTCTGTTGCTTCGTATAAGAACGTCCGACTTTCCATGACACAATGGTTTCAGCATGTTTCATCAAAAGAGTTGCAGCACCCTCGGCACAGCTTCGACATTCGAACCCCAGCCGAAGTTTGCGGCTGTGCGCCAGAAGCTTATGATCAGTGCACCAACATCTGACCGACTGCCTGGGCGTCACGTGAACTGAATGCGTTCGCTTCTGCGTGACTTCTTCCCAACGTGGGCATTCAAGAAAAACCGTCAAATTCGAAATGCTAATTAATGATTGGGAGCAGGAGCTCAATGCTCCAGAGGGGCAAGGAGCGGTAGAGCAAACTCCAAACTTTTCAGCGACGAATGGACCAACTTGTTGTGAGCCAGATCAGATCCGCTCAAGATTACAACAAGGTTCACCAACTAAAGACGTAATCTTGCAGTGCATTTCCGCTCTTCTCTACCAGCCTCGATGGCACTGCCATTCTGGAATTGTATTGAAAGAGCAGTGACACTTAGGCTGTGGCTGCTGCTTCTGAGGCTCTGTTGGCCGTTTATAGCCTCATCCAGAAGATTCGGGGTCTGTGGGGTTTCCATTTGGTCTGCCATTCATTCCGAGAATGTGTGCTTCGTTTCCAGAACTTCTGTGCAAGATAATCTTGCAGCTGCAAGATGTGCAAGTTGCTCTGACGACTTCGTGCCTGTAACCTGGACGACGGGAGGAGCATGCATGGCAGCGCTTTTCTGATTGGGTCGCTGCCAGAGGTGGCGATATGGTTGGCAGCTTAGGCTACATGTCGTTTGAGCTGCTTCTGAGCTGGGCAAGTCAAAGCTGTTTGTGCTCACACAACCAAGTCTTATGCCTACCCTCCAGACCAGGCCAATGTGGAGATTGCAGACATCGATGGATTGCCTGAATCTCAGCTGCGTACCATCTGATCCGTGAACTGGCGACCGCCAGAGCATGCCAGTCAGAATCCTCAAGCTGTCAACGCTGACTCTTGCGTTTTTATGACAGGCATTCCTGGAGCATTGCCAGCAGTAGTGCGAATTCAACTCCCCCTCCCTGTGTTGAGCTCGTGGTTTTGGGTAGAGGCGCGGCCTGGTTGCAGCGCGTGACATTGAAGAGAACTCCTCCATCGCCTTGTTCTGAGACGTCAGTCGGGGCTTAGCTCTTCATGTCATACTCAGGATGAGTTAATTGAAGTATGAACCTGCAAGCATCTCGATTTGCCCTGTCATCGAGCATCGCATGCCATTAGACATTTGGGAGAGAAGGCCTCGCCTCAAGGGTACAGAACATGTGGTGGTGCTCCTAGAGGCCTAGAGTCTGAAGACTAGTCAGGCTTCCTGCTGAGAGTTGCCTTGGCCAAAGGTGGAGATACCACTCACTGCCTCCGTAGACATCTCGGAGCCAGGGACCGCAGCTTTCCATGTCTCGCATCGGATGGTACAGACACGTCAAACTTGAGCCGGCGCGTAATCCCTTCACAACGATAAGTCCCATCCTCACTCCCCTTCCAGGTACACTAACACTTTCACGGGCTCGCAACGGCAGGGTTTTCTTTCCCGGGGACCTGTAGCCTACAGTAGCCTCAGAAGCCAAGTAAACATGCGTATTCCAATCAGGCTAAAATCAGCTATAGCAGCTTGTTCCCAATTTCCCCAAAATTTGGCCACAGTTCTCAGAAAATGGGCAAATGTTGGTTTAAAACTGAGAGAATGGATTCCTCTAAGAACACTGCAGAAAGAGGGGGGACTTGGAAGTATCTACTACCCCTGCAGGAACGAGAAGGATCCCAGCGCTCCGGCCCTGAATCTGCTGAAGCCGCAGCCTTACCATTCCTTCGAATTCAGATGCTTTTGCAGTAGGAAATGCGATCTAAAGCAGGCCATAGCCTCTTCATAGCCAGTTGTGCAGCTTGCAGGTTCCTTGATGACGAAGTGAGAAGCCGAGACTTTTGGGCAAGTTGTTGTCATGAGTTGCAAGCACGCATACAAAGGAGTGTCATGGCAGCGCATGCAAATCTTTGTATGTCAGCTTTGAGTTTGCTCTGTGTAAGGAGTTGCAGCCGTACATGGATCTTCTGCCAGGCCCAAGCATGAAGAGTGAGTCTGCCATCACTGGCTTGGTAGCCTGCATGCACATGGTAGCAGCTGCAATTGCCATGGCCAGGGATTCAATCGGAGTACGTATCCAGATTTGACTAGTTGTACTCGTCTGTGGTCTCGTTGTTTATTCGTTACATTTCGCTGCGACCTTTGTGCTTACATGACTCTATGCGCTTCTGTGAGTACGCATGCTGCGCATGGTTTCTAGCTTTGTGCAAGTAAAGATAGCTTCCACACCCTCCAGGACGGACATCTCCGGACATGAGCAGGATTGGTTCGTTGGCTGTCCCGTCTGGGCTTCGCCGAGTCGTTGCCAGCTGTGTTCCAGACATTTGGTAGGAAGAGCTGTGCAAAGTAAGTCGCTTCACTAGTAACACATGACCTAAAAGAGGTGCACGGAAAGTGCGAGTTCCCTCCTGAGCAGCCTTTGCTGTTGCGAAAGCTAAGATGACTGTTTTTTGCTAGGGACCTTTATTTACGGAGCAGGAAACTTCTGAACGCCGAAGCCTTGGCTCCAGGACGGGACTGTACAGAGCATGTCTCAGGGTCCGTGTGCGACGAGGATTTCGAGGTCCGGGCAAGAAGCGACGGAAGATGAGCAGCAGAAACGCAGCAGCAAAGATTTGTGTGAACACGAGCTGACTGAAAGACTGCGATCGACCAAAACCACTTGCTCCTTCACCACCTCTTCCTCAACTCGAATGATGACACATCGAGGAACGAGCTCGTCCAGATCGAGGTCCAGCTCTGCTTCTCTAAGAGAAGATTTTTACGATGACGCGGAGAGTGCCATCTCTCGTGGCCGCACTCCCAGCCCTTGTCCTTCAGATTCCGATGGTGAGACTTACTCCCACCATTTCCATTTCCACGTCCACGATAGGAAAGGCTCCTCTCCAGAACACAGGCCAGCAAAGGTTGATCTGAACTTGCTGGACGATTTATTTGAAGACAGGATTCCTTGATGCCATAAGGGCCTGGGCCTTGACGTTGAAACACCTAGCTGTTGATGGCATAACACGCAGCAAGGTGTACCTGTACAGATGACGCAGACTCGCGAGATTCGGTTTCACAAGCGTTTTTCAAAACAATCTAAAATTTAGGAGTTAAAGGGCGTGCAGCATCCCGAGCATCGATGATGGTGCCGGCTGCGAGTCCAAACAGCTTCCTGTTGCCCCAGCGGCGTTGCTCGGTCCGTTCGTATGACTGCTGCTCACATTGTTCAACACGGCGTCCTAAGCGGCGTCAGGCAAGCTGATGCGTTTTGGCTCAGCTATGAGCAGCAGATCCTCTCCAACCAGTGGAGAGGGTTTTCAGCTACACCTGGAACCTGCAACAACCTCTGTGCACAGGGCAATTCTGTGGAGGCCTTGACTTGCGACGAACGTAGTTAGTGTCTTAGGCAGGATGAGCAGTGCACACAGAAGGCATTTGCTGACTGTTCTTTCGTTCCAGCTGTCAAGTGCAAGCGGACATGTGATGACTTAGACTCAGACATGGTTGTTGTCAAGTGAGTCACCGAAGGCAGGATCAAGCTCCACAGAAATAATTCATTACAGTCCAATATTCTTCGACAAATTCCTGCATCCTCTTGATAAGAATCCGGAGGGCCGGATTCTGGCAAGCAACTTGGAGCAAAAGCTTGCTTGGATGAGAAAGAAGAGCATGGAGCTTGAAAGGTTGATGTCCCAAGCGATGAGCCCCTGTAGATCCCTGGAGCTTGCTAATTGCAGGATGCCTGACTTCTTCTCAGAAGAAGAGCTGAAGATGCTGTCCCGGCCCCGATCAAGCTGCCGTCTGTTGTCCACGTGCCAACTTAGTGAAATAAGCATAACCGTTCCTCGCATGTCTCTGGTTTCTGCATGGTGCTCCCTGTGCGTAGTTTATGCCACCCCCTGGAGGAACAAACAAACTCTACTGTGTACTTGCCGCCTTTGTAAGGCAGTGTCCTGAAGTTGTGGAGAAGACGCGCCGGAGACAGCTTGTCGGCTGCAAACAGCTGCTGCACTAGTGTTGCTGCTTCCATCGGCAACAGCGA